ATTATTATTATTATCTGGGTGCTACTTTCAACTTGAGGCTGCTACCTTTAGCTTATTTTTATGCAAATTTTAGTTTTTGCTGCTACATTAGCGAAAATTCTGTTTCTTTCTGCTTTTTCTCTATTACAAATTTTTGTAATTCTTTTCTCTACTTTGAGCTATTTGTGCTTCCTATAGTTGCTTTCTGCAATACTCAGCTATTTGCGGCAATTTTAGCTAAAGTTATTTGCAATAGTTAGTTCAAATTACTTGAATTTGGCCAATTTTTGAGCTAAAACTTAATATATTGGTAGCTTAGACTTAGCTCTATCATAAATAGCAGCAAAAAAATCCAAGATGGCCACCAAAGCTAGTTTTAAAGGTCTTTTACTCAGCCAGTGTTTGAGATATTGACATGAAAACTGATGTACTCGTAGCTGGGAGCAAGCTCTATCACATAGTGAGCCTAAAAAAAATCCACAATTGTAGCCAAAGCTATTTTTGGCTACTTTTTCTCATTGGAAATGAATGGAGCTTTTTTTTACAAGATCCTTAGATTTCTTCATGTTTCTAAATCTTTACAAAACCTTATAGAATATCTTCTGGTTCTGCTTTTATTAAATTCCTTGTGACAATTTTAGCTACTTATTTTTTGCAAACATTAGCATTTTTTTTGTATTTTAGCTATATGTCTGTCATTTACTGTTATTCTTTTGCTAATTTTTACTTTTTTGTGGTTCTTTCTGTTATTTTGAGTTAATTATGCTTCATACAGTTGCTTTCAGTTGTTCAGCTATTTTAGTTTTTAGCTTTTTATGCTAATTCAGCTAGATTTTTGCTCCTTTTTCTGAATTTCTGTTGGGGTTTTTTTTTTTGTTTTGTTTTGTTTGCTTCTTTCAGATTCCCAAGTTTAACTAATACTTGTACTGTTAAACATTTTCAGCAATCTCAGCAGCTTTCAGCAAAAGTTTTCAGCAACAGTCATTCACACTAGCATTTTCGCAGCAAATACAATTTCTCTGGTTACTTTTTGGAGTCAGTACCATTCAAAAAGGCCAGAACTTCATAAAAAAATAAGAAATGTCTACAATTCAGCCAGTTTTGCAGATATTGAGCTTTAATTTGGTTTTAGTAAAAGCTGAGATTTATTCTCAAAATACTACTAATAAAATCAGTTAAGACAAATTTAAAAAATCAATTAACACTTTTTTAACATCTTTTACCTTAGACCATAAAAGGTGGAAATTGCTGATATGGAGCACATAAGGGCACATGACTCAATATGGTAAATGGCTTGTACTTATTCAGTATTGGGTCTTATCAGGTCCACAGGTCCTCAAGGCACTTTACACCTCAGGCATTCACCCATTCACACACTGATGGTGGTGAGCCACAGCCACAGCTGCCTTGGGGCACACTGACAGAGGCGGGGCCATAACTGGATTGGCCATTATGCTGCATTCACACCGAACGCGATTTCAGCTTCAAAATTGCATCCAACGCTGAAGTTGGTCGCTTGTGCACTTTGAGGTCAGACGCAGGTCAGCTCTTGAAGCGCTGCACGGCAAGAGCCTCCCCGCCCCTCCCTCCTCTGTCGGGCTCTGTTTAATGTCGGACGAGGAAGTGGCTTTGCTTTATTTACAGAGAGCAAGAGCATGTCACGTTCATCAGATAATTAATTCATAATTAATTCACCAGATAATTCAGAGACATTCTGAGTTTCATCAC